CCCCCCCCCCCCCCCCCGCTTGTCTTTTAATGCTTAAAAATGATTTGAGGTAAAGGAAAATTGTCTAAGCATTCAACTGCTTAAAATATAAGACTATTACCAATCAGTGGTACAGACAGGAGTATTTAAAGCACCATGAGGAAATGTTAATGAATGCTATCTTATGTTAAGACATTATGAATGTTAAGTGAAAACAGTCTGAAATTGAATTTCACTCTGATGATAACTGTTAAAAATTATGCATGCAAATTTTATTTGTCATGGCATTTTCACTTAAAGATGACCAAAATGCAGCTCACATCAGGTTTAATACGAAAACAGCTGGTTTATGTGGTGAGGGATGAGTGCAGTGGGGCTGGTTTTCAGTGGGACCTAACATGGGATACTGGAAGGACAGGATACTGAAAAGATCTGATCTTCAAATGAGAACTGGCTACACTGTGAGGATGAGAAATCGAAGTCCTTTAGTGTGGAAAGTGTAGGTCAGTCCTGAGGCCAGGAAAGGAGAAGTGATGTCACCACAGCTGCTCCCTGCATGCGGAGTCCCTGGCCTTCACCACTAGTCTCAGCATTTTAGTCCTACCAAGGGTACAGACCCTCTGAACTCCTGGATTTCTAAAGCAGGGCATTTTAGTATAGCTCTTTGGTTTGGTTTTTTGAGGCAGGGTCTCCCTGAAACCCTAGCTAGCTTGGAACTCACTGTGTAGACCAGGTTGGCCTGCCTTTGCCTCAGGAGTGCGGGGATTAAAGGCGCATACCACCAAACGCAGCCTTTAGTAGAGGGCTTTTTCTTTCAAAGGCTTTAAATTGGAGAATTAGCTCCATGCTAATTAGTGTTTAGTGGCTGTTTATAATTTGTTACTGCACTTCAATCATTTTTAAAGGGATTTATTTTCATTCTTCCTACTTTAGGCGATAAGAAGAACAAGATGAATCATAATATTAAAATTAATAAACTCAAATAGTAAAATGGTAGAAATGGCTGTTTTCCGTGACTCTGAGTTGTAATTAGAAATTAAACATTCATGGTTTAATCTTGTTTGGATAATGGTATCCATTCCTTGTGGCTATGAATAGTTAACTCTTTTGTAGTTGAATTCCATGTAGTAGAATTTCCAAAGCTTGGCTCTCTCACTCTAGGTTAGATTCTAAGATGGTCTCAAGAGACTCTTTGTGGTTCTTTGAGTTTTCTGACTAAAGTGTTATTATTTTTGAGATAGGCTTTTGCTGGGCTGCAACTTCGGTCTTCCTGTTTCTGCTTCTTAGAGCTGGAATGACAGCTAACATCATACCTGGCCTCCAAAACGCCACCCAGGCTTCATGAAAATAGGGCACAGAGATACCTTGACAGAGAGAGAATTTTTTCCCATGGACATGTCAGCCATAGACGTAGTGTGGGCCGGATTTCTGGAGTGCTGGAGGCACTGACTGCCCTGTTGCCTTGAAGCTCTTGAATATGTCTAAAACGTGTGTAGGAGACAAAGTTCAAATGAAAACAGCACTCGTTCTTTTAATGTTTTCAGTTCTGGGTCTAAAGAAGCCCAGGCTTTATTCTTATTTACTACAGCAGATTTCCTTAAAATAAAACACATTGGCAAGGTGACAGGTTAGTGACCCAGTGTCTGATTGGAGCTTGGAACTTCTTAGAATGTGGGTGTAAATTAGATTACAACTGATTTGGCATTGATAAAAATAGATACAAGTATAGCTGTGTATGGCAATTATTTTCTTATAGTCTCTTTACTATCTCAAGTGGAAGTCCAAACAGATTGTAATTTTGTAGTAAAAAGCTTTTATTTCCAAAATGATTGGTTAGCAGAAAAAACTAGATCATCTAACACAAGACTTTGGTAAGAGATTTGACACAAATTCCCCATCGCAAACAGCACAGTGAGCTTCAGTGATGGAGGAAGCACAGCCTCTGGCCAGTTATCTGGCTTTTAAGTCTCCCAAGTCTAGTTAAAATTATACCCCACTGGGACCAGGTAAGAGAGAGAGACTCTAGCCAAGGTTGTCACTGTCTTACGGAACTTTGATTTTCTGGGGTTGAGGGTATGTTTCTGTCAGATCACTCCGAGGGTGCTGCAGAAGTGGGCCGAGCAGATTCTGTCAGCACTTTCCTTTTTTGGTCTAAGTGGAAATGTAAGCCTCGCGTTTCTTTATAGTATCTTCCTTGGAGGGGAGAAAGCAACTCATTGAAAGACTTAACAATAATTTTAGAAATAACCCAAGCTTCAAATGACCAAGGGATGTGGTACTAACAGCCCCTCCAGAATGAGGGAGCAGAATCCCCATCTTTTCCTGAAAATGGTTGAGGTGCATTAGGTGACAACAGTAAAAAGACCCCACCATCTGACCGCTTAATTAGCTTAAAAACAAAAGACAGACCCAGTGACATGTTTTTATTCAACAGGCTCTCTTGTGTTAAGGAAAATACATATTCAGGATTGTAGCATAGTTGTGGTTAGAAATAGTCTGACGTGTTTAATGCAGTTTCTTAAAATAGTATATTCAAAGCGCTATATGCATCTCACCCACAGTGTGTATTTGGATTAAGCAGTAATAAAAAATAAGACCTGCAAAACAAATGTAACAGTGGTTTTTAACAATAAATGCATGAGCAAAACCTGCTGATGGACTCACAACAGAGACAAATACCTTTACTCTAATTGTTGGCCATTAGCTAAGCTCCATGAATTTGGAATACTGCTACTGGTTTGGAAGTAAGTGGAAATTGCTGGTTGCCTGTGCGGACTGGGATCCTGGTCCAGAAAGCAGCAGGCAGGGTTTAATTCAAAATGCTTTATCCTAGATTTTGTCTTAGTCATTGAAATATGTTGTCTCTCTAAACCAAAAATTTTATGACTAAAACATAACTTTTAAGTAGAGTGATAGTGTTTGTGTTGAGGAATTGACTTGGGGACCTTGGAGCAGATTAGCAAATAGTTCTCAGAGATAAAATGCCTTCTTCTAAGAAACATTGGAAAACCTAAAAGGTCTGGATACATGTAGGAAGATTTTAAAAGTCAGGTTTGGAATTAGTAGGCCAATTTTGATGCCTGGGTATTGGATCTAATAAGGATCTGTTATCAAAAGATCCTTATAGGCTTATAAGTCTAGCCTCCTAGGAGAATTATGGCACCAAAAATTATGGCAGGATAAAAGAAAACAAAAACAAACAGAAAACACAAAGGAACTTTTTTTACACTTAGTTTCCTTTATCTATGCTGCTTCAAGAACTGTTACCTTAGATTTGAATAAAACAGCCATCATCACTGTCATCCTTTTGGGTATTAGGAACCAGTATTTGGAAGTGAGATAAAAGTAGCCAGAGTTTCTTAGTGTAAGAATCAAAGCCACCCAACATCAGTGCTCCTTGGCAGGTGGACTGTTTTCCCCAAGAACTTATACCTAAGGAGATGTTCAAGAGACCTAGAGTTGTGCTAAATGGAAAGAGGTGGAGAAACAGTTTTCTGCAAGAATGAACCAGCCGAAGATGACAAAGAGGGGAATCTGGTCTGCGCATTTGAAGAGCGTGTCCCTGTCTGCTGCCCTAGCACGGAGCTGCCTTTTCCTGTGCAGGTGGCCAGGGTCTCTGTTCCGCTTAGCCAAGGGGATTCTCCACTGGGACACACCAGTTTAGTACAAGGTGACTGACACTACTCATTTCGGAACAGGAAGAGGGCCGGCTGAGAACGAGGGAGTCCCCCTCAGCCTGTACCCACAAGAAGTACTCAGGCAGGATGTCTCTGGCATCCATAAGACTATTGGGCAAACCACACTGTAAAAATGAAAACTAGTGGACACAGTTTAAATTGTCTTAAACAAGCAAACCAACCACCCAGCCGTTGGGGACTAGACTCTGGAATGCAGCCTGGGGAACTATACCCCTGCTAACAAGGGTGCACGTTGCACGCTCTGATTTCTCTCTTGTCTTTGCAGCTGGTAAACTGGGGGCTTTTGAACCTCTTCTTCACAGTCATGTAGCGCTCCTGAATCCCGCCTCCACAGAGCTTGGTGCATTCTGACCAGGCCGTCCATGGGCGCATCCGGCAGCCTGAAAGCGTGAGAATCCTTGGTTAGGCCAGCGGAACTGGGGTGCTGAATTCCAGCAGGACTGCCCTGTTTGTCTTCCCTCTGCTTCTCTGTGTGATGACTGGTTGAATTAATTAATGCCCAGTGTCCTTATCAGTGATAGGTTGCAAAAACCATGGCCATTAGCATACCATAGCTCTTCTGTCAAAGGGTACAGTCTATTTTCTCACCTCTTGAACTTGGGCTTGGCTAGGTAAGTGAAGTGCAAGCAAAATCATGCCTTGAGAAAAACTTCTAGGAAAACTCCACGGTGTGAACAAGTCTGGATAGCCCCATGTGACCGACCCTGAAGAAAGAGGTCCCGGGGGGCCTTGTGCCCCCACCATTTGATTGTGGGCGCATGCATGAGAAGGAGCCAAAGGCTAAATCTCAGAAGAATCAGGTAGCCTAGCCAGCTTGCCACTGACCTGCAGGATCATGTGAATAAGTGATTGTTTAAAACACTGGGTTGGTTTCTAAGGTCGTGACCATTCAAGGAGCACTTAAACAACTTGCTCATAAGCCTAACTGCCCAAGCGAGTGATTCATCTACCAGATACTAAGTAAAACAATTTTTTCCTTTTCTTTACGCAGCATGAGCATGCCTTCCTTAAAGAAACCTCCTCTGACCTCCAGAGATTAGATCTTGTGTTCCCCAGCTTCCATGACAATCTATACCTATACCTTAGACCCATCATGCTATGTATTAGATATCTGTTTACCATGCCACAGCAAAGTTCATGGAGAAACGATGCCAAAGACACAGTTTGCCTTAACTGACGTGGCTGGTGACTGCCTGTGACAGCTTGGTATATGAACATTCCCTAAGGAACAGATCTCTAGACTTGGCTCATTGCCCAGGGTACAGGTGGAACATCTTAAGGAAGGGAACAAAGGGGTTAGTTTGAGCTCTGCCTTTAAACGTAAGCAAAAGCTCCTGACAAATTAACCTTTGCCTTTCCATGGGTGCCTTACCCTTGGGGAACAGAGAACATCTAATGGTCTGTGCCCAAGACTTAAACACGGATCATCCCAACTCATCACTTTGTGGGTCTGCTCTCTCAGCTTGGTCCAGCATATTTGGCAATGCAGCCCCATGTAGGGAATTTTATTTTTAAACAATGGATTTTTTAAAATGACATTTTCTATTATTATTACCATGTGTCTGTATGTGTGCATACCATAGTGTGCCTGTGGAGGTCAGAGGACAATTTAAGGAGTTGGGTCTCTCCTTCTACCATGTGGAGTCCAGGGATTGAGCTCTGGTCATCAGGCTTGGCGGGAAGGAGGTGCCTTTACCCACTGAGATATCTGGCTTTTTTTTTTTTTACTGGAACTTTTCACAAATTGTGCTAGAGAAGGGGGGGCACATAATCTTCCCCCTGGGCTACAAACAAAACCTAAAAACTGGCCTCTGTAGCTCTGTTATTTTTTTTCTTCTCTAAATCACTTAACTAGGCCTGTTAAAGCCACTCAGAAGCCTTCACCCATAGAATCAAGCCCCAGTTCTTTGACAGGTAGCTGCTGGCCTTTACGGCCTGCCTCTTTGTGTTCTGCCGTATCCTCCTCCCACCCGTTGCTTGGACACGTGTCCTCTGGCGTCTCTGCCTTGGCAGTGATTGTCCTGCTGGCTGGAGTGCACTTCTGTAACCGACAAACCCCTGAAAGTTCTCAGAGACCCAGGCTAGCTTCCTCTACTCTGGCATTTCCATGAATTCATCAGTGTACCGTGCTCATCCATGGCCCCCTGAGCACTTGGTTCATTGCTCTATTAGAGCATTTACACTATGTTGGCAGCCTGGGTCCATATTATTTGAAGAACTAAAATCCAAATGCTAAACTTTGCAGTTAACATTAAACTTAGAAGCCACAGGCCAGGCAGGCTTATCTCAGCCACACCCTTAGAAGGGTGACTGCTCTGAAGAATCCTCTAGAACATGGGCTCTCCTCACACATCTGTGTCTCCATTTTTCCCTTTGCAGGAGTGAATGGAGCCAGTTACTCATAGCTGATTTTGAGCAAAGTTTGAGAAGGCTTGCTGGTTTTACAGTTGTAAGAAAAGGACAAAGTTATACAAGTCCTTAAAGGCTCTTTGAAAATTTAGTTTTGACTGGTAATTATATCTAATGTTTCTTTGATTAAAAAAAAAAAACCCTCCATCCTCTTCTTTACATATTATGCCTTTTTAGTATTTGGGGTAAAAACTTGTATGTAAAAATGGGGGCTGTGGAGATGGCTCAGTGGTTAAGAGCACTGGCTGCTCTTGTACCTCTGCCGTATCTCCATCCCACCCATCACTTATTCTGGGAACCAATACAGTCACTGGCCCCATCACAAATGACCGACAGGAACTCCAGTTTGGGCTCTGACACTCTCTTCTGGTCTCTAAAGGGCACTGCATGCACGTGGTACACTTACATGCAGACAAAACACTCATACACATAAAAATAAAAAATCAAAATGTAGTCTATAGAATCCGAGAAGTGCGTCACTCTTCCTTTGAGCCCCATGCAGCCCCCACCTGTCCCAGCGCCCTGCTCGGGCCCTCCCTCCTGGAGGTCCTACCTGGGAACTGCTCCCCATCCGACTCTTCCTTCAGTTGCTCGCTCCTTCGGCTCTCTCGGGCTTCCCTCCAGCGCAGCTTCTGCACTGATGGGTTGCGAAAGCATTTCCGGACACGACACTTTTTGCGTTGCACAGTCTCTGGGCAGGGGGCACCTCCAAACTGAGGCTCCATTTGGATTGTTCGGGTTCGAATCATGTGGCCTTTTCCACATGACTTGTTACATTCTGACCACTGGGACCACTCGGTGAGTTCACAGTCAATGGCTGACAAGAGAAAGATGGGCATGAGTGCATCTCATGTCTGAAGCCAGATATAGTCACTGGCTCCACTGAACATGACTTTCTAAGGTACTCTACAAAAGAAGATGAAGTGGGATCATCCAGACCCCATGGTCAGTAAGGAGGAAAGGTGAGATTGGTGGCATGTCATGACCTGCTCTGTTCATTCTCCGATCCTCCATGGCTCATGAAAGCAGTGGGAGACTTTGAAGATGTGTTCATGGCCTCTGTGAGTTCCTAGAATATTGTCCGTGGCACTGACCTGCCTTCCACAGTCCCAAGGGACCTCCCAGGGAATCCACAGTTTACTGGTGGTTTTTCAGAGCAAGGCCACCAAATCACCCACTGCCTAGTCTTTGGTGAGAACAGCAATCTAGCAGGTGGCTGGCCCGTATGGAGACATGAGGCATTTTTATATTTTTTGCAGTACCAGATCTAGCAAGTTCTTTTACAAAGCCAGCACCTCACACATGTAAGGTGAAATAACACATTGATCTGATTCTCTGGATCTGTTCAATGAAGTGAATGATTCCACAAATCTTCATTGGCTTTTTAAAGCCTGGACCAGTTTGCACTCTGCTGAGCAGTTTCAGGTCTCTCTCCCCGAGGGAGCTTGTCTGCCACGGGGATAGTGGTGCTGTTATTACCATTAGGATTAAAGGAGCTCAGGCTTTCAGCCTAGAAAGTGCCCTGCAGATCTTCATCTCCCCTTCATTGGGCTGTGTGGCTATGAACATTTTTGTTTGAATTGGTGACTGTCACCATGAGAAGACTTTAGAGCCCAGAGGGCTGGAAAGATGACTCAGAGGTAAGAACACTTGCTGTTCTTCCAGAGGACCCAGGTTTGAATCCCAGCACCCATGCGGTGGCTAACCACCACCCATAACTCCAGTTCTAGGGGATCCAGATACCCTCTTCTGGTTTCTGTGGGCATTATACAACATGGGTGCACTTTCATATATGTAGGCAAAAAACACTCACACACCTT